TACTAGGACTAATACTAGGACTAATACAAATACTGATACTAATACTAATACTAATACGAATACGAATACGAATACGAATACGAATACTAATACTAATACTAATACTAATACTAATACTAGTACTAATAATTAGCATTAGTATTAGTATTAGTACTAGTATTAATATTAATAGTATTTTTAGTAGCAGTATTCAAAGGCTTCAGAAGCTAATTGAGTTTCAGCTTTCTGAAAGTCAATTAGCTTCTGAAGCCTTGGAATACTGCTACTAAAGATCATATTAATACTAATACTAATGCGAATACTAAATATATTATTCATACACTCTTGCTAGTACTAATACTAATACTAATACTAAAACGAATACTAATAGTAATATTAGTACTGATAATAATACTGATACTAATACTAATACTAAGACTAATACTAATACTAATACAGATACAAATACTAATACTAATAATGATACCAAAACTAATACTAATGCTAATATTATCATGAATACGAATACTAATACGAATACTAACACGAATACGAATACAAATATTAATATTGATACTAATACTGATATTAATACTAATACTAATATTAATACTGATGTTACTACTAATACTAATACTAATCCTAATACCATGACGATTCAGCTGAGACCCCTAAAACAATTTTAGATTCAGGGTCCATAAATTGTTTGGGGGAGAGGGGGGGGAGTTCGTACCGACTACAGCGGGTCCAACATTACAGTTAATACGAATAATAGCAATAATTGTACCAATAGCAAACACAACACTGCCCAGCCTTTGCCCATGTAGTCCTTACCACCATCGCGCAGCTCGCAGGCCTGGCATCGTGTTGCGAAACAACTTCTTCAGTCTTTTCCCACGCGAAGCTCTACTGAACGGCGGCAGTCTCAAGCCCTAGGATGTAGGGTTGCCCGGACCCCATTCGCAAAAATCATGGGCCTAGATCTGGCGTCCAAAGGCACAGGAATTCATGGATCTACAGCAGCAGCAGCAGCAGCAGCAGAAGTAGTAGCAATAGGTATAAAAGTTATAAGGATGGCCGTCACAAACCTGAGCTTTGGGAATGAGCAACCTTTCTGACTTTGACACACAGTTCTATTAGTGCTGCTGTTACTGTACTATTGTTGCGATTATTGCTAATGCGATTAGCAGTGTTACCACTACTATTGTTAATGCTCTTTTTGTTACATGCACCGTGAACCCTAAACCCTAATAATTGTGTGCACTATGATGACTACCATCCCTAACCCCGAACCCTAAACTCCAAACCCTAAAACCCTACACCCCCATTATACTACTGCACCACTCACTACTCGTTTCTTCTTTGCCTCGTTCTCCCCAGTGCTGGCACCGCTGGGCACGGCGGCTCGGAAGACGCCAACCTCACTGGTCACCTCCACCTTTCATCAAAGTCTTTTAGGGTTTAAGGTTTTACTCTTTTTTTTTGGTCACGCCTTTTCTCCGGTTTTACGGTTTAGGGTGTAAGGTTTGGGGTTTAAGGTTCAGGGTAGAGTCTTGAGACGTGGACCCTGCTTTGGTCTTTAAGAGCTGGTTCTTGGTGCTTGTGCCAGGTGAAGCGCTGCGTCCACAAACCGCGCGGGATCAAAATCTCTGCTGAGAAGTTCCTGTAGATCCATGCGGGGGGTTCCGAAAATTAGGGTGCGACTTTGGTACCCCTACATCTTTGATGCCGTAATATAATCTATAAACAAAAGGGCCTAGATTTTCTAGAGCAGCTTATGTCCAGATTGAGAATTGACAAATTGTGGTGAGCCTCCAAAGTCGTTTCTTGAGTACGCATAACCAACGGTTCTTTTAAAGTATAGTCTTCAGTCCAGTGCTGAAGCCATGTCTACCAAAATGCCTCAACAACAGCCAAACTTAATTGCACTGTTGTGGACCCTGGCGCTTGATTAGTCCAGGTCCTTTGAACCCTAAACCCTAAGGACTGTATCTGCAGATCCATGCAGGGCCTGCTTCTCAAAATGAATCCCTGGCGCCCTAAACCCTCAACCCTGAACCCTAAACCCTAAACCCTAAACCCAAAACCCCTAACCTGGCGGCCTCCACAGTGGGATTGCCGCGGGAGTCGAAGATCTGACGAGCGTGCACCTTCTGGATGGGCATGGCCACCTGGGCTGTTCATCTACTATAGTGGCCTAAATAATTACCAGTATTATGGGAATATAGGGATTATATAAGGATGATGGAAAAGAAAATGGAAACTATTATGTTACGGGAATTGTATCGGCATGATATACGGCACCTTTTGGGTCAGCTGGCCTGGTCTCGTGCTTCGCTCTCTCTCTCTCTCTCTCTCTACAAGGTAGACTGAGTTTAAGTGAGCTGACCAACTGCTATTTGGAACCTGATCACAACGACACCTTCGTCAGATTTGGACACCTACCGCCTGTAGCAGCATGGGCTCCTTACGGTTGCGTGCACCCTTGTTCACGGCCAGCGGCTGCTTTTGGAGTATTGCCAATGTCGAGTGGAAAGGGAACTCTGTAAGCCCAAATGCTACAGATATCTGCTTCAACGTAGGACCCACCATCCCTTCAGGTATAGCTCGCTGACGAGGCAATAGCTTGCAGCCCACACATGGCAGGCTGCGCTGGGCTGCTCGCAAGGAGGAACCCATGACGAGCAAAACCTCCTCGTCTCCTTACCCGCCTTTAAACAAGTCTTTGCTGGCAGATGGTCCAGGTCATATGATCGCCGGTACCCAGTTACAGTCACGGATTTCTGGATGAGGTGGAAAGCAAACCACGTCGCATAACAATTGTGTCTTTGCTGTCCGGACAGCAACATTACTCAACACAGCATTTTTTCCAGTGCAGCGCGGGGAACTCCAGGGTCATCTAGGCAGCGGAAACTGTACAAAGCCCAACGGTTGCTGACCTTCACGGCTGTCCTTCGCTGTCGCTGGGCTCCTTGTGATAAGGCTCTTCACCTTTTTCTGATTTTATAGCAATGCAGCTGCAAAGCTAGTACCAACACTGACCGCAAACTGTGCAACGCTGCCACAAGTACTAGCCGCTTTCAGGCTCACCAACAGTATGGCTCTTCATGCGCTAATCTGTATCCGGAGGCCTTGTGCTCCGAACTTTTCACGTGCTGTCGAGCCGTTGATATTTGTAGACCGGCAGAAAGATACCCAACAAGTCAAGTCTGTTACTGATGTACTATGCTGTAATTTGGGATCTTCAGGCAACCGATTGAGATTTTGATCCTAAATCACCATTTCACGTTGATCCCGCATCTCTAACGCAGGAGAAACCATGCAGTGGGCTGACGCTGAGCGCCAAGCATTGCTAATCATGCTCAGCATTCAGTCGACGTCCAAAGCATCCCGGAGATCCACGAGAGCATCATCCTCCTCAACCTCCAGCGTGGCCACCTAAGTCAAGTGCATGAAAACCCTGCAAGAGACATTTAAGCAGCTGGGATAGACATGTTTCGGCGGCGCTGGTGCAGGGGTAACTGTCTGAGCTGCTTGGGGCATCCAGGCAGCAACAGCCTTCAGCCTTAAAATCTCCAGCTGCGCATTTTGAGTTAGACTACAACACAATGTGTGGGGAAATTCCTTCATGTCCCCTATCAGGACCCATTCTTGCTTGGCAGGGCAGGGTTCATGTACACTAGTCAGGCTGGCACATGACAATACATGTAGCACAAACCAAGAAACAACAGCAACGCAAACGTCAGCTGAGTTAGCTATATGTAATCAGCAACCCTGTCATATGAAGCAATACATAGGGGTCGTTAGGGATGTTACCCCAATAACTGAGAATCAAATGACAAAAAAACTTGGAAAATGAAATGGAAACTGATTGGTACTCTTGCCCATTATGTGAGCCCCCATTCTGCCAGCTAAAGCCTAAACCCTAAACTCTACGCCGTACACCCTAAACCCTGTGAGGCCCCGTTCTGTGAGCCCAAAACTTGGGCCTGCGTCCAAGTCAAAGCTGGATCTGTCCAGAAAAAAAACCCGAGGTTTCCATTGTTATTCCTTGTTCTTGTCCATTTGATTCTCCGTTCTTGGGGTAGTGTGCCCACACAAGCCCTGGCCAAACCGACGGCCAGCCCGTCTTGGTTCTTTGGCTGAGCCACTGGAGGAAGGTCCTCGGGTGTGATGACCCAATCTCCGCCATTCACGCGGCTATCCAATGTCTCCTGCATGGCAAATCCCGAGGGAATTCTGCAAGCAGCATTTGACATCCATCCAATTAGCAGCTGTTATGTGAGGTTTGAGGAATGAAAAATGAAGCCACGTGCTTGTGCAAAAAAAAGTAGCAAAAGCGTGCCTGAAGGCCAGCTGTAGATTAGCGTTGCTTCATCAATCTGGATTCAGGGGGCATCTCAATACAGTAAATCGTGCGTGGTGTTTAAAGATTTTCAAGAATAGTGTATGGCTCTTCGACCGGAGCTTGTTGGTCACAAAGATGACAAATCAGATTTCATGGTAGTTGAAAAGGGCCTGCTCTATGGGTAGCGTAGTTTGGGTGGCTTCAGACATTGTCTGATACTCTATGTATGAGAAGCGAGACCTACCTACACACTTCGAAAATCTGAAGCTGCGCCTGCGCATGGCTTTCTGCAAACCCTTGCCGAAGCCCCAGCCCCAAGCCACCAGCAAGCTGAGCCGGAATTGCAAGCACAAAAGGATATAGCAACTCCTGCGCCCAAACCTGCTGCTTCAGGGCGAAAATAATTCGCCGACCTCAGCAAATGTGGAAGGTGGATTGAAGCTGCAAAACACACCTGATGCCCCGGATCACCGGGGCAGGTTTTGATCCTTCGGGTCCAGGAACCTGTGAAATTGGGGTTATATAGGGATAATTTTAAGCCAGCAATAACCTGTAGTCTAACGTTTCTGGGTGGTCACAACCTCGTTCATAAATGGCGCCACGGGAACAATCCGGACTAAGCCCGGTTGCTGCCTCTATAGTACCCCTTATCAGCCATTCGAATGCCATATCATTGCGCGGAACATTGGCAGTGTCAGAGACTTTGACCGCCCGTAGCCTAGCACACCACTCTCCGATACTCTTGGTGTTGCCATGGGGTGTGTCCATGTGTGCTACTTCAAGCCTGACCCCATGGTCATGACAACTACCAGCTCCAAAGAAATCCGAAAACACAGCTGGAAAGAACGAAAAGCAAGCAATGCTATGCCCAGACCCGCACAAGTCAAAAACGAATGGCTCGAAACTCTCACCGATCTTGCCCTTCTTCCGCCAAGCAGCAGAAGACATCCAATTTGATGGTTTCTGGTTTCCCTGGCGGAAGGATCCATGCTAGCGATATGTTATGAAGGTGCAAGAATTCCTCCCTGGAATCTAGAAAGTCAAAGTTCAACGCCGTTTGCATTACCCATGTGGTACAGAGTTGGAATCGGAACACGAGAAACTGGGTCGCTGTTAAGGAACTTAAACTAAGTTACCAGACTATGTGCATATAGACAGAACAAAACCGGTTTTCCTCATTCTAATAGCTTAGCTTAAGTTCCATTTGAAAGCGGCACCCCAAGAAAGCAAGGTAGATGTGCAGTGGGAATCTAGCCACAAGGGCTGATCAAGATTGCCTGTTGTCTGATCCTTCGTAGCTGCTCACGACTTACCAAGATACACCACAGGGTAGAGTAAACTTGAAGCAATTACCTTTGAGCAAGCCCTTATCCCAAACATCGAAGGTTAAGTAAGTTCTGACAAATTCGTTGAGGTCAAGGATGCATTTTCCAGTCCTGTGCACTCTTCAAAAAAATAAGCTCATCCGTGTCTGCAAGTGGATGGTCGAGTGTTGAGTCATGCACATGCAAACAGGTGCTCATATACATGTTTGAAACGATGTTCTTTAGCGGCTGCTTACCTGAGCAAGAAACTAAAGTATTCTGTCAAGCCAGGAAGCCTTCTCACAGGACTCAAACTGCTTAGCGCATTAAGTTGCAAACCCAAGTATTTTGGAGAGACACAACTGCCATTTACGAATGCAAGGTTCCTGTCTCTGCAACAGTATTGGGTCGCTGTTCTCAAAAAGCACTTTAACCAACCTGACAATCCACGCTTTCCGCCATCTGGCGAACAGGAGGTGTGAAGCCCTGGTTGGCTTGTGCATGTGGCCAAGCATGTTGCCGGATGAGGATGCCGAGAAAATCCCGACGAAGTAGCCACGGACCGCATGGTAGACACTGGTGTTGGTTGGATGAGGCCGTTCTGGCAGGTGGGAACGTGGATATGGCGGGCTGTATCTGGGGCGTCTTGTGCTGGGTGCTCTAGAAGCTCTGCCAGCACAGGTGTCTTCTATGGGCTACCTTCCACATAGTCCACCCGCATCGGAAGTGGAAGGGTTGTATCGTGCTGCTCCATGCCTTGCCCAAGCTGACGCAGCAACTGCCTTTAGGTGGTCCACAAGGTGAGCTGAGGAAACCTGCCGCAGATATCTACATCTTACAGAATACCCAACCAGAAGCCTTCCAAAGCAGAGCCCTACTGCTTCACAGAGTTCTAACTCCAGAGAGCACCTTGAATCCCTTGAATTCTGGAAAGTGCTCCGCGAAAGGCTGATCTAACAGAATGTTCCCCACCTGAGGAGTCATCGCCGAAGGGCTCTTCCATGATCTCTGCCAGCTCCTGCCACGAGCCAGTCTAAGCTGTGGGAGGTTTGCCAGCCTGTGGATCGCAAGTTCGAGAATACTACCTTGATTCCGCAGAGCACTGGACTTTTCCTGCTTATGCATTGAGAACTCAATCATGCCGAAGGTACATATAGGCATCTTGCCTTGGAATGAGTCTACGTGCGTTTACAATCTACAGCTGGCAGCTCTGGTCTGTAATGGTCTGTACAAGTGTGGAAGGCAAGGTCTCAGAGAGCGAGGCGTGAGCCTTTGCTGGTATGACTCTTCTTTGCAATTACCCTAAACCCCATACCCTAAATAGTAGTTTCCATTCTATTTTCCATTATCCCTATATCACCCCAATAATACACCCTAATATTCTATCTACTTATGACTCTTCTTTGCAACTAAGTCAGCACCTGGCATGCGTCTGCCCACAGCAGACTTGTTTTAAGACGATCCATGCGTTGAAACGACGAGCTCAGCTGCCTGGATTACTCAGTTGAACGGAATCCAGTTCATGATAATACGCAAGCTGCACATTATTGTGCTAGATTACAGGAAATGCCTTGAATGGTCAAAGGACCACCGGGATGCGGGCCAAAGGTCCGAGAAGCGTGAAGCGGCACAACATGCTGCGAAAGATGTCGGTAGTTGTCGTCCAGCCTGGACTACCCTGAACACTGAACATTCACACCCTTACTTGAAAGCACTCCACAAAAATCCTCGGTGGAGTACAGCGCCCAAGCGATCAGGAGAACGGTGGGCACCACCAAGGCCTGAGCTGCACGGAAAGCTCCGCTCTCGCTGGAGTTCTGTGTGGTCTTGCGACAAGGAAATCTGAAAAGAGAATCCTACGGCGGCGACGGCGATGACGACGATGACCACGATCACAAGACACAAACCACAACCGAAACCACGCCGATTCCTACCACAGC